TGCTGTCTTAGCATTAAAGACGCATCTGGAGAAATTCAAGGTTTTATTTGTAGAAACATAACTACCTTATTACATTACTACGTCTGTTTTGAATAACAAAATGAGAACTCTCATTAGGCAGAAGTGGAACTTTATCTGAATCTGCATTCTCCATGCGGCCAGTGGAGAATAGCACAGGTTTTTACGGTCACCTTTCCGTCTTCAGACGTCCCCCGTCTTTCCGCCCAGGGAGTCAGCCTTCCAGTGCACGTTGCGCTGCTGTCTGGGCGTCTCCCAAAAGGACTTTTATCTCCATCTTCCTGTGGTGATGTTTGTCCCAAGTTAATTCTTTGTCTTTAAACTCATTGGCTGAAAGTAAATGTGGGAATATTTTTGCATTAGTAACTATCATATTGTTTAAATGTTAGACAACACACCACACCAGCTGTCACAGAACCTAGACGACTCCACTCCGGCTTCCTGCAGAAGGACACGCGAGGCATGTCCCTGGTGTCCCTCATTTCCCATTTTACAGCCCACGATCTCGTGGAATTCAGCAATGGTATGGCTGATATTGTAGATAAAGCCCACAGTGAAATAAAGGCTTGAAACTCACTTCAAAAATGTACAATAAACATAATTTTCTACCTCTTGTGCTGTTTAAAAATGGATGGTTTCACGGCGTGGATGAGCCCCGCATTCTCTTACCTCTTTACTGGTACAGATATGAACAAAGCCATTGCCGGGTCCACGTGTGATGAACTCAGGCCACTGTGGGAGCCTGAGAGAAGTCTGCAGCTCACAGGAGGCTGGACCTATGCGGTCCACCCTGGGACTTACGATGCTTTCTACTCATAGGATCTGAAATAGCTGTTTTCCTACATGTGACAAACGCTTGGAGTAGACTTCTGGCCTTGCTTCAGGGAATAGAGTGTTATCTGCCCAGCAGCTGCTTTGGAAAGACTTTCAGGGCATAAATCATCTTCAGGAGTTGGGGAGGCTTCTCCATCCACCTCAGCCCAGTAGTGGTTGCCTGCCTAGGACTCACAAGATTTGCCTCCCGAGTGTGAGGGTGGCACAACGCTGGGACAGGAACAGACACACTGGCCAGCAGAATGTTCTAAAGAGGAGCTAATTTTAACAAGGGAAGACGTGACAGAGACAAAATAGCATCCTGCACTGTGACCCCCAAGAAAACAGCGCAGCCTCTGTTCAGAGGAGCCCACACTGACCAGCAGCAGGTGCAAGACTGCAGTGCAGAAGCAGGGCGAGCGGGAGGCAGAGAGCCCCGAGACACAAGGCCACGGTGCGTGCGGAGAGCGCCACGCACATCACCTCTGCGGGCTGCACCCACGGAAACAAAGCCCAGAGTCCACTCGTCCCCAGCCAGACACTTGCTGCTGTGAGTCGCTCAGAGGGAAGCAGCAGGTAGGACTTGGAATCTCTGCTCCACAGCCAGAAGTGCCGAGGGTTAGGCTCTTGTCTGAAAGGCATGCACCCATGTCCTTGGAAGAACAGAGGACTCCAGGGAGCACCACGCTCGCCCAGGGAGGTGACATTGTGTGGTGAGGAGCTGATGGGATGTGCGTGTTGGGTTCAGAACCCCTGCTTCTCTTTACAGATGATAAGCACGAAGGGTCACCTTTGGAGGAGCTAAATTGTTAGATGACGACCTTTGTCCCAGGAGAGTGGCACTCTGACTCTTGCCGCCAGTGTATTTGGGCTTTTTCTCTTCATCAGCTGACAGAGGTGAAATTTTCCCAAAAGCAGGTTCCAATGCCTAAAATACAAAGTGCAGGGAAACTTTTCATGTTTTCGAAGGTAAAATACATTCTAATTCTAATACAATCAAGAATAATTGGAATGTCCTAGAAAAAAATAGGGTAGAAGGTCAGGGGACTTGGACTGAGTTTTCCCCCAACATGTTGATAAGAACAGGAACCCTCACGAACGTTCCAGAAGGAACCTTTTCAGAGCCGATGTTTGCTTTGCGTTTCTTATTGTGGTTCCTTGTTTCAAAATGATCACAGGATTCCCAAGGCTACAGAATAAACAGTGCCCAACATGTCTTACTCTAGGCTCAGTGTCTTCCCGGGGAATGTGTTAACGAGGAGGAAATGCGATGCTGCCTCTAGCGCTGTCTCTGCAACTGGTCTGACCCGAAAGGCAAACTCCCAACCTTCCCTGTTATCAGCAGACTCACCTGCAACCTGTGATCCTTCGGGTGGGAGGAGGTATTTTAGGTCTGGAATGCTACATTATTCACCACTCCGCTCTCTGAGGAGGAGGAGGGAGTGAGAAGGGGAGAGGGCTGCTGTGAACGAACCCTTAATACCAGATCCAGAGTGGCTCACCCACACAGCCATGCCCGCAGTCCCTGGGTGCTCACGCCTCCACCTTTCAGATATGCAGTCCCTAAAACTGCGACTACACACAGTTACAGCAATGCATATTTAAGGTGTGGAATTCACATATCCCATCTTCTTTCTTCAAATCAGGTGTGCTCTTGTGAGCGTAGAGCAGTTCTTATAAACAGCCCCATGGTGACCAATACGATGCACACAATCAAAAAACTATTTGGAAATTCACGAAGTTCTAATCTGGAAATAAGAGGAGGATGGAAACTGCAGGGCATGGGAGGACTGAACGGCACTTCATTGATTCTCGGGGTAATTGTTACCGTGACATTTCTCCTGACATACAATGACCCAAATGGGGCAGTAGATGCTATTTTTTAGTCACCGGCATACAATATATGCAGGGGAATGTCCCTGTGCGTCTTCTCTGCCTTCCCGCCACAGAAGGTACAGAATCCCAGGCTGTATTTGTCGCAATTTCCCCTTCTCTGCCTCTGATGGAGGAACAGCCTCCCGGCTTCTGCTCTTTCCTACACAGAAGGACTGGGCGCTTTGCTGTGATGAGAAGCTAAACCCGCTTTCTTTCTGAGGCGACAGAAGCCATCTCCATGGAAACAAAGCTCTCACAGAGCTCCCGAAGAGTGGAATAACTTCCAAGATTTCCTGCAGTTTCCTGTAGAGGAACTTGCGGCAGGTCTTGCTGTGCTGGGAGAACAGACCCCAGAGAAGGCTTCTTGGGACTGTATTCCATGGGGGGGTGTGTGTGTGTTGTAGTCACTGTGCCATATCAGAAATATTCCAAGTCCTAGAAGTACGGATTTAAAAGTTTCCACAATGAGTGCAGGTAGGAAATGTTAGTACTTTTCTTAGTCCACCAAGAAATATCCCCACTCACATTTGGAGGGTGTTCAGGTGGCTTCCTGTGTCGTTGCCTGTACGTGTAATCTTAATGATTCAAGTTGTTTAGACCCACGTGCAGGAAACAGAAGCCAGACAAGGTGGTGATAATACTGGCCACATTCACACTCTCTGAGGCTCCTTCTTTGAGGCAAGTGATCAAACGTGAAAGCTCAGTGTTCTATAACGGCAGTTGGTGCTGGGACGCACCGACTACTTCAGGGTGAGAATCCTGGTCCTTCCTCTGGGATAGAGCAGGGTGGTGAGAGGGACGGGGCAGGAAAGTCCTGGGCAGAGAAGGACGGGTCCCTGGCTAGGGCTCCACCCCTGGGCCTGTGCCCATGGACCTCGGCATTTCTGCTTTCATGCCAGAATATTGCATTTCCCAAGACCACCCTGACCCACCACGATCCCATCCTGTGCCCATAAAAACTCCCAGTGGCAGAGACACAAGCGGCTGGATGTCGAGAGGAACACATAAGCAGAAGAACGCACCGGCAGACACAGCAGACGCCAGCAGGCCATCGACTGGTGGAATGACGCAGAATTTGGTGGGGGCGGCCGGAGGAGAGTCTGGATGCTGGGTGGCCCAGCTCTGGGGAAAACCTCCTTCCCACTCCATCCCCCTGCTGGCTCCCCCTTCTGCTGAGAGCTACCACCACTCAGTAAAAAGCCTTGCACCCGTCCTGCAAGCCCACGTGTGATCTGATTTTTCCGGTACACCAAGGCAAAAACTCGGGATACAGAAAGCCCTCTGTCCCATGACAAGGCAGAGGGTCTAACTGAGCTGATGAACCCCAGCTCCCCACAGCCTAAACTGAAAGAGCACCCTGTAACACACGCCCACTGGGGCTACAGCTGTGAACATTCATCCCCAGACACTGCCGTGGGGCTGTGAGGCCTGCCCGTCTGTATGCTCCCCTAGAGGCTTCGGCAGTGGGGCACCAAAGAAGAGAGCCACACCCCCATCACACGCCCTGTGGAGGATCAAGGGAACTTCTCCCGTTTCAACAGGTCTCTACCTCATTCTTCACAGCTGTCCTAGAAGATGAACAGAGGCTGCCAGGACGCTGAGCCGGCTCTGGAGTCAGGCCGGGTTCAAACCCCAGCTCTGAGTTTTCCAGCCCATGGCTGTGATGGAGTTAGTAAGAGCATGCATTTCATCGAGAGTAAGACCATAAAGCTCCAAGTCTAGTCCACGTAAAGTCCCCAGCAAGGCTTTGCTGCTGCTGTCCTGAGACCCCCTGAGCTGTTAGAATTTTAGACGTGAGACACACACCCGGAGGGCTGGGCTTCGGTCTGCTGGAGCGCCAGGTGGGAGGCCTCATGCATCCAACTTTTATCAGTCACCACTTATGGGAAATGGAGCTGATGGAAAGACAGCAAGCCCTCCCGCCACCTGCAGCGTGAGTGATACCGATACCTCGTCATCCAGCAATAAAGCCCACATCGTTACAAGGACGCTATTTTTACATAATGCACACCATACAAAAACGCAAATGCCCCGTAGGTCCCAGAGTGTGCTATCCCCGTCCCGCGTGTGGGGAGGCTGCAGGCTTCTTCTCAGCTTTCCACTGCGGCTGCGCCAGAGCTCCCAGCTCTTCTCGGAGCTCCAGGCTCTGCTTCCGCAAAGCATCTGTGTGACTCTGGAGTTTCCTGTGAACGTCAGCCCACAGCGACTCCTGCCTCCCGAGCTCTTGGTCGAGTCTGGTGATCTGCTGCTGTAATGGCTGTTATTGGGAAGAGAACACCAGAAAACCTCTCAGATATCACACCACCACATTCCTCTCCACAATACCCAAGGCCTCTCTGACGCAAGATCGACTATTTCTAGACAGAAAGACACCCAATGGGATAAACAGGACTACCACAGCCTTTTCCTTTCTTTCTTTCCTTTCTTTTTTTTTTTTTTTTTTTTCTTTTTTTTTTGAGGCAGACTCTCACTCTGTCACCCAGGCTGGAGTGCAGTGGCATGATCTCAGCTCACCGAAGCTTCAATTTCATGAGCTCAAGTGATCCTCCTGCCTCAGCCTCCCCAGAAGCTGGGACTGTAGGCATGCACCACCACACTTGGCTAATTTTTGTACTTTTAGTAGAGATGTGGCTTCACCATGTTGCCCAGAGTGGTCTCAAACTCCTGGACTCAAGTGACCCATCCACCTCAGCCTCCCAAAGTTCTGGGATTACAGGCATAAGCTACCATGGTGGCCACAGCTTTATTCTTATTAAGCAGTGTTTATTATGAGTTAGTGCACATAATATAACCAGACAAGGATGGTAGTGAGCTGTGATTCTTTGTTAAGACACTACTACAGCAAAAAGAGTCTGGCATTCTTTTCCCTTTTTTTTTTTTCTTTTTTTTTCTTTGAGACTGTGTCTTGCTCTGTCAACCCAGGCTGGAGTGCAGTGGTGCAGTCTCAGCTCACTGTGACCTCTGCTTTCCACGTTTAAGCAATTCTGGTGCCTCAGCATCCTGAGTAGCTGGGATTGCAGGCACATGCCATCAAACCTGGCTAATTTGTGTATTTTTAGTAGAGATGGGTTTTGCTGTGTTGTCATGTTGTCAGGTTGACCTCAAACACTGCACTGGCGTGGATGGACCGTCAACAGTTTAAAAATTCTGGAAGGCACTGCATTTCAACCTGACATGTCAGCCTTCCCATGATCCTTCACTGGACCGTAGAGGCTGCAGCCTTGCCCTGGGAAGCAGCAGGATGGGGATAAAGGTACAGTCCTGCACTGCGTGGCCCTGGCCACAAGGACCCGTGGGACTTTAATGAGAGCGAGCACTGTCCAGTGGGGTCTGGCGAGGAAGTGGGTAAAAATCAGGAAGCTTGCTGGGACGACGTGAGGCATGTCAACCTTCTGATTTTCTTTAACGAAGTTTTTAAAGTCTGGTGCCTTCTCCTGGACTTGAGGAGAGAAGCTGGAATGTTCAAGTTTTCTTTAACCCCGCCCTGCCATCCACCAAGAGGGAAGGTTGCAGAGGACAAGAGCCACGTGTCCTCGGGGAGGAGGTACGGCATCAGCGTCCTGGGGCAGCACTTTCCTACAGAGGTCTGGCGAGGGAAAGTCCAATGACGGGCCTCAGGGACAGGAATCAGGGTCCCGCCTGGTGGGACTAACTCTGTCCCCACAGAGCTCAACTCACTGGCATCTCCTGGGCGTTGCTGTCCTCCCTGGGGACCTCGGCTGCCACAGCTGTCTTCTCCGTGTCCGCCCCAGCTCCCCGGCATGGGTCCTCCGGGTGGGTGTCCTCCTTGGGTTCCCCGGCCTCCAGCTGACCCTCCAGCATCCTGGTTTGGAAGGGAAGGGCCATGGGGATGCCTGAATGCAGTCACCTTACCCCTGAAGGCTCAGCCTCAACCTAAGGGTGAGCAGGAACCACAGCCGCTCTTCTCCCCCTGGGTCGTGTGCACATTCCCAAGCGGGAGGCTGACCAGGTGAAAGGACACACAGAGAGAGGGGACTGAGCGGTCCACACCTGGCTTTCCAGCATCCTCCATGGAAAATGCTCAGTTCCTAGAAGATCAGCCTGACACCTAACACACTCTTACCATCCAGAGAGAGGTGTGAGTGGGATGGTCATGGGGTGTGAGTGGGATGGTCGTGAAGTGTGACCAGGTGTGAGCAGGGTGTGAGTGGATGGTTGTGTGCGACACTGAGGGAATTCTGGGCCCTTTAATCAGCACCCATCTGGAGGGGCAGAGGAGACCCTCCATTGTGTTGAGTCTGAGTCTTGAACCGTCAGGGCGGCATTTGTGAACTCATGGTGAAGACGTGGAAAAGAAACACCTTTTTATATGTAAGCATTTATGCCAGTTCTAGGAAGCTCACAGCAATTAGAAAACAAAAACGAAAGAAAAAACGCAAAGCTTTCCTGCAAGCCTGCGGGGTCCTCTCTGAAAGCCGCCTCCACCCCCGCCTGGTCCTCTTGGTTGTAGGAAGCCAGGGGCCCCCAAGGAAACCCCGACTGTTTATTCACAAACTTCTAACTGTATAAAACATGAGAATGAGCAGCTTCACCACAGTGACCAGAGAAATGCTGTTGAAAAGAGAGTCTCCTGCTGGGAGCAAGCCGAAGGTCAAGAGCAAGACCTAAGGTCACCGGATCACTGGCCACTCCTTCCCCACGGGGACTGGGACAGTTTCTGCGCAGGTGGGCAGGGGTCCGCGGTCTTCACAGCCCTGAGAAAGCGACTTCTTTCCCGCTCCTCGGAGGGGATATCCCAGTGTCCTTGGCCCCAAACTCGTGACCCTCTCAGTCCGGAGAAGACCCTTCCCTCAGCCCAACACCAGACCTTGTCACCTCACCTGGTCCCTGACGCTCACGTCTGCCGGGACGGGATCATCTGCACCGTGTCCCCACGGCTGTCTCCAGCCCTCCCGCCTCGTCTCCAGAGCCGAGAGGGCAGCAGACGCTTCCAACAGACTTTCTGTCTTACAGGGGCGTGAGCGCCTCACTCAGCGTCACCACTGTGCTACTCAGATCGCAATTAAACACCCAAGCCTGCAATTCTGATACCGAAGCTCAGCGTCAGTGGAGTCCATCCATCCACAAAGGACATTGGAGAGAGTCAAACGGCTCCTCCCAATTCACAAAAACAACATGCTTAATATCAAGTCTTCAACATGCAACGTAGAGTAAGAGCTCATTTCTCCGAGCAGACATTCCTGAAAAAATATAGACGTTCTTTGGATGCCAAGTTATTTACTAGAAAAAGCATTTTTATGAAGGGAAAATAATATATACGAGTTTAAGTGGAGACAGAATTCAGAATTTCGTCATTTCACCCCAAATGCATCTCCATCTGAATTGTCTGTGTGGTTTTTGTGCTAGAGAACGGGGGGCAAGGAGAGTCGACGTTCCCGTTAAACCCTGGCCGTCCTTCCGCGCATGCTGCTGTGTGTGGAAAACACACACCTGTGGCTCCCCTGCGCCTGCCTGGGACGTGTATCACTCGGATGGTTCTGCAAGAGACTCGCACGCAACAGGCGGTAAACGCCAACGTCCCGAAGAAAATACCACAAAGAGGAAACAGAACGCACTGTTGTCCCCGTGCCTCATTTTCACCATGGGCCTGTGTGGGTCCTGAGGTGTGTGAAGGGTGTGTGTGTCCTGGGTTGTGTCCTGAGGTGTGTGAGGTATGTGTGTGTCCTGAGGTGTGTGAGGGGCTGTGTGTTCTGAGGTGTGTG